CAATTGAAGAACATCTGGCGTTGTTGAAGACTATATTTGCTCGCTTGGCGAAGTATAATATCAAACTAAAGAAAGAAAAATGCCTATTTTTGCAAAAAGAAATTGAATATTTAGGACATCTTGTCACGGGAGAGGGCATCAGACCTTTAGATCATAAGGTACAAGCAATACAGAAGGCCAAAACGCCTACGAATATCTCTGAATTAAGGTCATTTCTTGGTTTGGTAAACTTTTATGGGAAGTTCATACCCAATTTGCCAGAGCTTTTGAAGCCTCTTCATGAGCTTCTTCACAAAAAACGTCCTTGGGTTTGGACAAAGGAATGTGGAGAGGCCATTGACAAGTGCAAGAACAGCATTACCTCTGAGAGGGTGCTAGTCCCATATGATACGACTTTGCCATTGTGTTTGGCCACTGATGCATCGCAGATTGGAGTGGGCGCTGTGTTGTCACATATTATAGAAGGCCAGGAGAGACCGATTATGTTTGCCTCTCGGACTTTATCGGGAGCAGAACAAAATTATTCTCAGATTGAGAAGGAGGCTCTAGCCATTATATATGGAGTTACCAAGTTTCATCAATTTATTTATGGAAGAAAATTTATTCTTATTACAGACCATAAGCCATTGGTGACCATTTTGGGCCCAAAATCAGGAATCCCCACCTTATCTACTTCAAGATTGCAGCGTTGGGCGCTTATTTTGTCAGCTTATACTTACGATATTAAATTTCGAAGAACTCAAGACCATGGGAATGCAGATCTTCTGTCACGTTTTCCTGTGGGCTGTGAAGAAATTCCAAGATTAAATAATGTCTATGCTTTATCCTTTGTGGAAGAATTGCCGATCACAGCAGAGGAAATTGCCACGGAAACTGAAAAAGACGAAGTGCTCTCATTGGCCAAATTTTATACTCAGCAAGGCTGGCCTGAAAAGGTGGCTGATCACCTCAGACCTTATTTTCAAAGGAAACTTGAGCTAACTGTAGATGGGGAGTGTTTGGTTTGGGGAATGAGAGTTGTCATTCCACCATCTCTCAGAATAAAAATGTTGAACTGTCTTCATGAGACTCATTCCGGTATGAACAGAATGAAGGCTGTAGCAAGATCACATTTTTGGTGGCCAAATTTAGATACCCAAATCGAGTTTTTGGTGAATAAGTGCAGAAGCTGTCAGCAATCCCAGGATGGGCCAAATAAAGGAAAATGGCAACCCTGGAAATGGTCAACCAGACCTTGGCAAAGAATTCACATTGATTTTGCAAATAAGGAAAACATTAATTTATTAATAGTAGTAGATAGTCATTCAAAGTGGATCGAAGCCATCCCAATGAGAGAGACCACCACACGCAAAACCATTGAGCAACTACGGCGACTTTTTTCTTCCTATGGGTTACCGGAAGAACTTGTATCTGATAATGGACCTCAGTTTACTGGTAGTGAAATGAAAGGTTTTCTGGAAGGAAATGGAATTAAACAAACATTGATCCCGGCGTACCACCCGCAAAGTAATGGCTTGGCTGAAAGAGCGGTTAGAACTATTAAGACTGCCCTGGATAAAAATAAAAGGAAAATTGGGGATACCATTCAAGACACCTTATCAAAAGTTCTTCTGGCATATCGAAGCACCCCGCATGTGACAACGGGAAAGACTCCATCAGAGCTCTTTATTGGGCGTGCGCTTCGAACCAGAGTATCGTTGATACATCCCAGCTTGGCATCTAGAGTTAGGGACCAGCAAGCCAGACAAATGAAGTATGATCGGCGAACCCATTTGGAAGAATTCCAGATAGATGATTTAGTGTGGTGTAAAAACTTTAGAGGTGGTGATAAATGGATCCCAGGAAAAATTGTGGGCAAGAAGGGAACTAGAGTCTACACCATTTTGATCCACGGACAGGTAAAGGCCTATCACAGGGATCAAATTAGAAAAAGGTGGAGGAATGGTGAGGAAGATGAGAGTGGAGATGGAGAGCGTCAACCCGAGCACTCAAGAGGAGCAGGTCCCAGTGCCATAATCTCGGAGGTTGTACGAGACAGAGGTTATATGGAGTCGCTGTCGCCAGGACTAACTAGCCAGCGGTCGGATCAAGATTCAGAGGTTCAGAGTGATACAGACGATGGAAAGTCATTGGAGCCTCTTCGCTCGCTGGACCCCGAGGCCTTGAAAGAGGAGGGTCCTGTCCTAAGGCGGAACCCACCTCGAGCGAGGAGACCGCCTGTGAGATTTCGTGTTTGAAGAGAGAAGATGGTGATATATAGCTAGCAATAAATATGTATATATATATGTTTCTATGAAAATGTTAATCTGCAAGACGCAGGTTATCATCATCCCTTTTTGATTTGTTTTTTGTCACTTTTTGGCGTTTCGAAAATAAACAATAAAAGGCTGTATCAGACTTTACTAAGACAATAAAGATTTGCTAAAAATAAATGTGTACGAAGATGTTGCAACTACATTCAACTATTTCAGCTTCTACTGTTGTTTACTCACGATGATAATGCAATTTTAGTGATAATAAAGCTTTGATCTAAAGGTTTTATACACATTTAACTATTTCAGCTTCTACTATCAATTGATTACTAACGATGACTATTCAATTTTTAGTGATATTAAAGCTTTGATTTAAAGGTTTTATACACATTTAACTATTCCAGCTTCTACGATCAATTGATTACTCACGATGACAATGCAATTTTTATTGATATTAAACTTTTTATATAAAGGTTTTATTTACATTTAACTATTTCAGCATCTACTATCAATTGATTACTCACGATGACAATGCAATTTTTAGTGATATTAAAGCTTTTTATATAAAGGTTTTATATACATTTAACTATTTCAGCTTCTATAATCAATTGATTACTCACGATGGCAATGCAACTTTTAGTGATAATAAAGCTTTGATCTAAAGATTTTATACACATTCAACTATTTCAGTTTCTACTATCAATTGATTACTCACGAATACAATGTACATAGCAGAAGCTGAAATAGTTAAATGTGTATAAAACCTTTAGATCAAAGCTTTAATATCACTAAAAATTGCATTGTCATCGTGAGTAATCAATTGATAGTAGAAGCTGAAATAGTTAAATGTATATAAAACCTTTAGATCAAAGCTTTAATATCACTAAAAGTTGCATTGCTATCGTGAGTAATCAATTGATAGTAGAAGCTGAAATAGTTGAATGTATATGAAACCTTTATAAAAAGCTTTAATATCACTAAAAATTGCATTGTCATCGTGAGTAATCAATTGATAGTAGAAGCTGAAATAGTTAAATGTGTATAAAACCTTTATATAAAAAGCTTTAATATCACTAAAAATTACATTGTATTCGTGAGTAATCAATTGATAGTAGAAGCTGAAATAGTTGAATGTATATAAAACCTTTATATAAAAAGTTTTAAAATAACTAAAAATTGCATTGTCATCGTTAGTAATCAATTGATAGTAGAAGCTGAAATAGTTGAATGTATATGAAATCTTTATATAAAAAGCTTTAATATCGCTAAAAATTGCATTGTAATCGTGAGTAATCAATTGATAGTAGAAGCTGAAATAGTTGAATGTGTATAAAACCTTTAGATCAAAGCTTTATTATCACTAAAAGTTGCATTGCCATCGTGAGTAATCAATTGATAGTAGAAGCTGAAATAGTTGAATGTATGTAAAACCTTTATATAAAAAGCTTTAATATCACTAAAAATTGCATTGCGATCGTGAGTAATCAATTGATAGTAGAAGCTGAAATAGTTAAATGTATACAAAACCTTTAGATCAAAGCTTTAACATCACTAAAAGTTGCATTGCCATCGTGAGTAATCAATTGATAGTTGAAGCTGAAATAGTTAAATGTATATAAAACCTTTAGATCAAAGCTTTGATATCACTAAAAGTTGCATTGCCATCGTGAGTAATCAATTTATAGTAGAAGCTGAAATAGTTTAATGTATATAAAAAGCTTTAACATCACTAAAAATTACATTGTATTCGTGAGTAATCAATTGATAGTAGAAGCTGAAATAGTTGAATGTGTGTAAAACCTTTAGATCAAAGCTTTATTATCACTAAAAGTTGCATTGCCATCGTGAGTAATCAATTGATAGTAGAAGCTGAAATAGTTAAATGTATATAAAGCCTTTATATAAAAAGCTTTAATATAATTAAAAATTGCATTGTCATCGTGAGTAATCAATTGATAGTAGAAGCTGGAATAGTTAAATGTGTATAAAACCTTTAGATCAAAGCTTTAATATCACTAAAAATTGCATTGTCATCGTTAGTAATCAATTGATAGTAGAAGCTGAAATAGTTAAATGTGAATAAAACCTTTAGATCAAAGCTTTATTATCACTAAAAATTGCATTATCATCGTGAGTAAACAACATTAGAAGCTGAAATAGTTGAATGTAGTAAAACTCTAAATCAAAATCTTTAATATCACTAAAAATAAAAATTATATTTAGGTGGTATTGAGGTCTTCTTCTCAATATAGATTGATGTCTCTCTTTACCCCGAGAGACGACCTAGTGTTTTAGTCCAGCTACCCGACCAGCTCAGCAACACCAGAGGAAGAGGCTTTAAGAACAACTACCGAACGTCCAAAATCTTATCCAGAACTCATTTTTATTGAAAGCACGCTCAATTTATACATTAAAGAAATTTACATACCAATTTACACACTAAAGGAAATTTACATACTTTTTCTCTTAGTTTTTAAGTTAAATATATTTGCATAAAAATAAAGTTGACTACTTTAGTAGTCGTAACAGGTGGTGACCGCTCGTTTCATATACTGAGAGAATAGATGAAGTAATTTATAATACAATATAATATAATACGGCCCATGATTGCAAAACGACATTTGAAATACCATCCCGCATGTGTCTCCTTCCAACGAAAAATCAAAATTTATTTCAAGGAGAAACAATGACCATCTCCAACCCCTTGGATGAGGCATGAAAGGGTGAATTGTGAAGAGTAATGATATGTCCAGTGTAGCCTAGTGGACATCGCATTTGCCCAATAAGCGAAACACTGTGGGCTCGATTCCCACCCCTGAACAATTTTATTTTTCCGTTTATCATTACTCTTCACAATTCACCCTTTCATGCCTCATCCAAGGGGTTGGAGATGTCATTGTTTCTCCTTGAAATAAATTTAGATTTTTTGTTGGAAGGAAACACATGCGGGATGGTATTTCAAATGTCGTTTTATAAAGAATTCAGTGAAACAATAATTTAATGATTAGTCACTTTATATGAATGTACATTAGGAAGAGCTTGAAACATTTTTAGAAAGTCGAATAACTTTTACATACTTTATCATTACGCTTTATCAGGTTTAAGTTAAATATGTGTCAATAATTCTAGACCCCTTCATTGAACGTGCCATTCGTCTTGTATATTATAAAAATATTGTTGTTGAATTCAAAGTATTATTTGATGCGTACATTATTATTCAAACGTAAAGGGATCCTTTAAAGTCTGGGTCTTATAAGAAAGGTTTTACTTTATATGCTTTGTGTGCAATTAATACAATCCACTAAATTAGCTGCAATTATACAGTTGAAACAGAGATTTGGGAAACAATCGATATATATATATATATATATATATATCTTATATATAAAAAAAGAGATTTGATTTTCTGTTTGTATTTAGATTGTGTTGAGGTTTATGCTATGGAGTTATTTGTTGGTTCCTTTTAGAACTATATGGTATTGGTGATGCAGTCGTGGCTAAAATCTTGAAAGTATAATAACAAAAATGGTTTTGATCAGAGATTGTTTTATTTGAGCTAAAGTAATATATAAGAACATAATTTGATTAAGGTACTGCCTGGCTTGAGGCGTAAGAATAAAAAAATGAAAAGCTTATTTACATAATGTACAAAGGTTTGAGCCGGCCAACGGGGATAGAGAAAAGAGAAAATATCTTTATTTTACGGGGCTGCTAACCAAAATGAATGATTTTTGAGCCCCGATGGACGCATAAAGTGGAATATATACAAAGCACAGTTGGAGGGGCCTGGGATGGGTGGCCAGGGGATCATCGCCAGGTGAGGCCAGGAGAGCCAGGATGTAGAGGAGGACCAGGGGGGGGGGGGGGCAGGGTGGTGATCCGCGGAGTTCAGGGGGTGGCAGAGACGGGTTCAATGGTGTTGAGCCCAGGGTTGACCGTGGAGAGCAGACATACCGCAATGATTCATTTATATGACTTTTAAGCCCAAAAGGTGTAGCAGGCAGACAAGCCGCAATGCACAATATCAAAGTACCAAGGTGCTGCACGCAACCAAGTCTGTTCAAAAAGGTTAGATTCCCCAGGCCAGGGAAAATAAAAGAAAGACAGCTGTTGTTTAAATAAGAATATTAGATAAAGCGAGAATGAATCAGCAACTGATGGGAAAAAGATAGATTTTTTTGTAAAAATGAATATATAAAAGTTTTAGATAAGATTACTGGTGAGGGTACCAGTGCTAAGACAACCAACCAGAAATGTACACCATAGATTGCATAGCGCGTTCAAATGGGTCGCTGCGTAAGTCGATTTCTCGAGCAGCCCGCGCCGTCGAATCGCCAAACCATTTGCCCTCTGTCCTTGGGTTACAGAGACAGCGTCAGGGGCGATCACATACGCAGGGCAGGTCGCGAAACCGATCTTAAACAGCGGGGCATGCCAGAGTTACGTCTACGAGCGGCCGCCAATGACCGGTGTTAACCATGAGGTGAGGAGTCCGAGTCACTCAGGTGATCGGAATCCTCCGCGCGGACGCGTGGCTTAAGTCTATCAGAGGCCTTTAGGAACTCCAAGCAGGCTCGCTAAGTGCTCCTGTTGAAAATAAAGTCTTTGAGTGACCGCGGAGTGTACCCTAATTCTTCTGCACAGGTGGAAAGAAGGGGGAATCTAAGGGCATCAAGGCTGCTGCACTCAAGCACGATGTGAGACAGAGCTTCTTCCCTGTCAGCGTCGCAGTAAGGGCAGGAAGGATCGTCAATGACGCCTATCCTGTGGGCGAAACTGTCCGTCCACGTGTGTCCCGATAGCAGGCCAACCACAATGTGCTCGCTAGGGACGATGTACGCATACCTTTTGTCTAAAAGACTCATTGGAGTAAAGCCAAAGCGGGTGTGGATAGAAGGAGCTAGAGAGAGGAATCTGCTTTCCCATGCTTCACGCGCCCGGCCGTAGATTGCCGATTTTACAAACGACAAAGGAGCGAGTTTGTAACAGCTTGGGTCAGCAGACTCAGCACCCCGCTTTGCGAGTGTGTCCGCAATGTCATTACCCACGTTCCCACTGTGGCCCTTGATCCATTGTATGGTGCATCTGTTCCCATTGCGATTCAATCGCGAAATCAGTAGCAGAGCTCTGTCGATAAGGTAAATACCAGTCTTAGAGTTCAGAACTGACTTCACGACTGAGAGGTTGTCCAGGAAGAATCCTAAGGTTATATGATTTGGTAAAGTGGTTGCGTTTTCAAGTGCCTTAACCAATCCAAGGGCTTCCGCCTGAAAGACAGAACAATGAGGGGACAGACGATGAAATTCACGTATTTCAGGTGCACAATCGAGACAAGAGAACCTGTACACGCCGGCGCCAATTCCATCTCTGGTTTTGGAACCATCTGTATAGTATGCCACGAGGAAGAAAAGAGCAGGAATATTACTGGGAGCGGAGTAATAGGGGGGGTAAGGGAGAGGATGTGGAAAGGGAGGAGGCTCGAGTGGAATTTCAGCGTCAACCAATCCATACTTTTTAAGGACCTTTTTTACCTAAATGGGAGATGGTACCTAATTGTTTGTGATTACTATTCCAGATACCCAGAAATATCACTTTAACAAAATCTAACTGCTCAAGAAGTGATAAGCCGTCTTAAATCTATATTTGCTAGGCACGGAACGCCTGAGACAGTTAGGAGCGATAATGGACCCCAATTCCAAAAGGTTCTTTGCTCCGAATTTTCAAGATTTTCAAAGGAATGGTCTTTCAAGAACATCACCTCCAGCCCGAGATTCCCTCAAAGCAATGGATTTATTGAAGCAATCATTAAGAACATAAAGCAAAGTCTTAAGAAAGAAGAAGATTGCTATCTGACTCTTCAAGCATATAGGACGATGACCCTGGAAAATGGATATAGTCCAGCTGAACTATTAATGGGACGACGCCTTAGGACCTCGGTTCCTGGTATAGAGTCATCACTGATGTCAAGATACTTGGACACCAAAGCCTTGCAAGAGAGAGAGAAAAGGAGGATGATCAACCAGAAGCGTCTATATGATAAACGACATGACGTACATAGCTTACCTCAGCTTCAACAGGGAGACAGAGTTTGGATTAGAGATCAAAGGGTAGAAGGGAAAGTTCTACACAAATCCAAAGAACCTCGCTCCTATTGGGTGCAAACTCCTCAAGGAAAAGTTAGATGCTCCTGAAGATAGTCGGCGCCAGGAGCCGAGGAATGAGGAGGCCCCTCCTTCGACATCAACCAGGCAAACAAGGAAATGCAGGGACGACCAGGATCAGGAGACCGAGGAGGATTGCCCGACATCAAAAACCTCACCTACAAGAGAAGGAAGGACGCGGAGTGAAAACCAAGACCATGATCAAAAGAGGAGCCTCCCTTCAACGCCAGTAGGGCAGACAAGATATGGAAGGGTGGTCAAGAAACCTCAAAGATTCTTGTAAAAGTAAGAGAGGAGATGTGCAGAGTATTAGGCTCAAAGATTGTAGAGCTCTGATAAGAAAAGGAATGATACTCTGCTGATGTATATATCTTTTGACTTGTAGAGATGCAAAGATATATTTAGATAGTTATTAAAAGAATTTGTTTAGCCAAGCTGGTATTTTGTCCTGACTGACAACACAAGGGATAGGGCAAATCATTCCTTTCTAAAGTTTTTTTACAAGTTCTTTTGTTTTTGTTTTCCTCATTCCAGCAGCTGCATCCTGATATATAGCTAGCAATAAATATGTATATATATATGTTTCTATGAAAATGTTAATCTGCAAGACGCAGGTTATCATCATCCCTTTTTGATTTGTTTTTGTCACTTTTTGGCGTTCCGAAAATAAACAATAAAAGGCTGTATCAGACTTTACTAAGACAATAAAGATTTGCTAAAAATAAATGTGTACGAAGATGTTGCATTTGGCGACGAGGATATAAGAGTAAGTACCCTCGAATTTTGAAGTAAATATTTTTAGAAAATATCTTTGATTTTGCATACAATTGAAAGTAAATTTTAAAAGACACAAATTGCAAAGTTTTAGGATGCAAATTTAAGAAAGAGTGAAAAAAAATGGCTAGTTACCAATTTAAGGAATATAATGAGGAAACTGAAACTTTTGAAACGTTTTATGAACGATTGGAACAGTTTCTCATATTGGAGGAGGCAGGGGATGAGAAGAAAAAGGCTTATCTCCTAACCCTCATGGGAAGTAAAACATATGGTGTTTTGAAGAATTTGTGCAGTCCTATTCTACCTAAAGATAAAACTTTTGATAACCTAATAGATATCTTGAAAAGGCACTTCTCTCCAAAGCGCTCAATTGTAGTAGAGAGGTTCATTTTTTTTAAAAGAATGCAATTAAAGGAAGAAAGCATCTCGGATTACTTGGTGGAAATTAAGCGTTTGGCTTCCTCATGCAACTTTGGAAATTTTCTGGAGGATTCTTTACGTGATAAAATGGTTTGTGGGTTATATAATGCCAAAATACAAAATAGAATTTTGTCGGAGGGCGACATTTCTTTAGCTAAAGTAATTGAGATAGCATTATCTATGGAAGCGGCCGAGAAAAATACAAAATTATTTCATTTGGAGCAGGGTGAAGATTGTGTAGATAAGTTGAGGATGGAACGCAAGGTTGAATCAAATTTCCAGAATGGCAAATGTAAACATTGTGGTAAACTGCATAAAGAACTATGTAGATTTAAGGAGGCGATATGCTTTAAGTGTAATAAAAAAGGATACATTGCCTCAATATGTTGGAGCAGTAGAAGAAATCTAAGGCAACATCAGAATCAGCCGGGGGAAATATACATCAGATAGGAGACCAAGAAGA